GTCTGCGGGACAGAGCGGACTAGCCAGCAGTCGCGCCTCCGCGGAGGGCTCTGGGGCTCGGGCCGCCACTTACCGCGCCCTGCCCGTGCCTGTGCAGCGCCTCAACTGCAGGCAGAGGCCTCCCACAGCTCCCCCTTCCCGCACGCTGCCCCTTGCACAGCTGGTGTCCCGGCCACGGCGTGGGTCCGGCTAGGAATTCATGGAAAACCCACGCAGGCATTGAGGCAGGTGAAGCTACAGCAAACAGCAGCTGCCTGGCTGATTTCTGGTCCTTCCCGGTCTAACCCCATATTTCGCACAAGTGAATCAGAAATGAGGGTTGGAAGGGACCTCAGGAGGTCTAGTCCAACCCCCCACTCAAAGCAGGAATTTCCATCTGAGTATCATCCCTAGCATAGCATGTGCTGTGTAACTACAGCGGGAATTCAAGTTTTTGCATAGCATAGCTTGCCAACTGTATAGCTGCCACTGTGTTAAAAGAAAACATACCACCATGAATGAGTCTTTTGTTTTGATTAGTAATAGTTTCCATAGCTCCAGTTACTCAATGGCCAATTATTTCAATGGGACGAGGGGCTAACTTCCTTGATTTACATTTTAGCCTCGGTGTAAAGTTCGCTATGGATTGCATGCTAATTATCTTCTTTTACTCTTTGCAAACAGGAAATACAGGTGTGCACCTTGGTTTGGCCCAGCGTTGCAGGAGAGATATCTTGGGATATAACTTTCAGCATCATCATCTTTGTAATACCAGGATTAGTCATTGTGATCAGTTATTCAAAAATTTTGCAGGTATCGTTTCCTTATAGTTTTCTTACACAACTATTAGAATGAAGCAGTGTTTAAATAACAAGTATGATATCTGAGTGCCCAGTAATTTGGGGAAAACTGAACAGAATGGACTGTATTTGCAGAAAGAGAAAAATACGTAACATAAATAAGCAGACAAGGTTCCTTGGGTGAATCTGATATCTTTTATTAGACAAACCTAAATAGTTGGAAAATAATTATTAAGCAAGCTTTTGTGTTCAAAAACCCTTCATCAGGCTAAGGAAGTTACAGCAGTTGGTGTGTGCTTTACCTGGATGGAATGAAAAGTAAAGAAGCCAGCGGCTGGGCTGGCATGCATACAAGACAGGTAGTCAGTGAAAATGTAGATTGAGGAGTCAATGGGTGAGACAGGTGGTGGGGGCGGGGGGAGAGAGAGAAGGGGGATGAAAGTGGTGAGATACCTGGGGAGTTTGCTGTCAGGCACGTTATAATGTGTCATAAATCCAATGTCTATATTTAGTCCATGATTTTTAGTATCCAGGAGGTTGATGAAGTGGAGTTCATAGGCTCATCTCTGGGAAGTGTTGTGTAAGTTTCCTTTGAGGATCAGGACTGAGAGATTGGAGAGAGAGTGGTTTTCTTGTGAGAAATGTGCCCCCACAGGTAATTGGGTATTTCTGTCTTTGATAGATTTCCGGCATGCGTTCATTCTGGTGCTTAGTTGTTGTTTGGTATTTTCCATTGGGGCATTTGGTACATTGGATGAGATATATTACATTTCTGGAGGTGCAGCTGTAAGATCCAGGAATGCTGATGGCTTGGTTGTGGGGTGTAGTAATAGTGGGGGTGGTGGAGATGTATTGGCAGCAGGTTTTGCATTTCTTGTTATGGCACAGTCTGGATCCTTTTGGTGTGTTCTGGGCTTGAAGAAGTTTGCTTCTGGTGATGAGGTTGGCGAGGTTCGGTGCTTGTTTGAAGGCTAGGATGGGTGGCTCTGGGAAGATCTTTTTAAGAATAGGGTCTCTTTCTAGTATGGGTTGAAATTGTTTGAGGATGTTCAGTACAGGTTCAAGGGAGGGGTGATATGTCATAACCAGCGGTGTGCGATTTGTGGGGGGTTTTCTTCTGTACTACAGCAGTTCTTCACGTGGTATCCGGGTGGCTCTTTCAAACGTGCGATCTATCTCTCTGGAGGAGTATCCTTGTTGGGTGAAAGCCTTTTTAAGATTGTTGAGGTGGCAGTCCCGGGTGTTCTCTTCAGTGAAAATTCAGTGGTATCTGAGGAGTTGGCTGTATATCACAGCTGTAACTTCCTTAGCCTGACGAAGGGATTTTGAACCCAAAAGCTTGCTTAATAATTATTTTCCAACTATTTGGGTTGGTCTAATAAATGATATCAGATTCACCCAAGGAACCTTGTCTGCCTATGTCCTTAGAGCAACACGGCTACAACCTACACCCCGTAACATAAATAAGGCACTTCCACCTGTACCTTAAAATAAAGTTAGTTTCACATACACTTTGGGGCATCTTATGTATCACAATTTAGGGCCCATATCAACCTGCTAAATGCTACTAGAGATTCAAACATCTTGAACAGCTGAAAACTACTGTTGGCCATATTCTTGTACCCTGAATGCCAAATGGCTTTAATAGAAATTGTAGGACAGCAAAGGAATTGGGACTGGGACCTAAAGGCCTTAACTATGTCCCCTTTCTCTATTCTGTCCTTCTCCTGCTTTTGTTTTGCATTTCAATGATGTGCTTTTTGTTAGTATGTAGTTACTTCCCCCAGCTTTCTCAACAGTTAATGGTGGTCAGCAAACGAAAGCAGAAGACAAAACATTTGAATCCTACTTGTAATAACATGTTTGGTTATCTGTAGGGCTGTGCAAAACGCTTGTGTTTCGTTTCGGTTTTGGATTTGGTGTTTCAACAGGACAGCAATTCGTTTCGGCATTTTGAATCGCTGTTTTGTTTCGTTTTGGCCGAAACCGTTTCAAGTTTCAACACTGTTCCGGTGTTTCGGACATAGGCTATAATGAGGAATGACTAAAATGCCTATAACTTTGTCATTTCTTGTCTGACTCTGATGAAAATTCCAGGAATGGGAGCCCCTTCTGAAGGCATGAAGCCTGCCAAGTTTCAAGGAGATAGGTACAGGGATTTCTGGGAAACTACACCTCAAAGTGCTGAGAGCAAAACTCGTGTCACGTGTGTGTGTGTTAAGGCAGAGCGGGGTGAAAACAGCAGGGATAGTAGCCCCTGCTGAGGCCATGAAGCCTGCCAATGCTCTGGGTGACCTTGCTCACTTTAGGAACACGCCCTGCTGTGTGCTCGCCTTTCCCCCACTGGTCAAGGGTAGCCTGGCTCTGCTTTGGAGGGAGGGGTGCTTTCAAGTGAGATGGGGACTTCTTTTTGGGCATGCTTCCACTGGTGCCAGGCTGAGGAGGACCAAGCGCAAAGGGGTGGTGCCTGCAGAGATGCATCAGCATCCCCATGGTGCTTGTGCATTTTGCTCCCCCGCTCCAGCTTGTCTTGGCTTGGTAGTGCAGGCAGATAGCATATGTGGGATCATCTGACACCTGAAAATGATCCCAGACCACACTACCCGCTCGCTTCTGGGGTGCAAGTGGGGCTCCTGCCTTATCCCCCTCCTCAGCAGGCAGAAGCACAACAACAGGAGGGGCTGAGTCAGCTGCCCCAACAGCCTCCTCTGCAGTCTCTTCCGGGGAAGGGGACCTGGCTCTAGGGGAACTTTGAGGGGGTGGAGCACAAACTCTTCTTCCCCTCCTGCCCCAGAATTTCTTGTGCTATCAAGCTGAGGTCCCCTACTTCAAGACTGAGCTCCTCTAAGACTGGGAGTGGGAGGCTCATGCTGGGACTTGCAGTTGGGGTGGAGGAGACTGCTGCTGGTGCTGCTTGTTGTCATGCTGCTGGTCCTGGGGTTTATTAACACAACTGGAGTCAGAGCGGGTGCAGCTGCAGGCACTGCTGTGACCTCCTTGCTCCCAGTACCAGCAAAAGCCTCATGGTTGGTTGAAAAGAGGCTTTGTCTCAGCTTGGGCAGCGGGGAACTGACACCTCTCCCTCTGCCCCCCCTCGCTCTCCTCCCAGACTTGGCAGCACTGGCCATTCCAGCACACTTCATGTTTTCCTGTGTTGGAAAAGGTGTCTGACTGTGTGTAGTTTGTGTATATGTAGGTGTCTGTGTGTGTAGTCTATCTATTCTATGCTGTGCTTTTCTGAACAGTGCCTAGTGATCACACTGTCAGGCAAAACAGATTTTTTTTTCTTCAGGTAAAAAAAATAATAATAATAATTTTAAAGGAATGGATATAGAAAAAAAAGAAATTATATAGGGATAACAATACTAGTTTTGAAGTTAGGCTGGTATAGCTAAGCTGTCAGTGTAAGCTGTATCCTATCCAATCCTTTGCAAGTAGAACACACACTCCCCAGGTAGACAGTAGCAGCTAGGAAGCAGTCGGAGTCAGTGCCTTTTAGATGCTGCTCTCTGGTGAGAGACAGGCTGACAGTTTAGGAACTCACAGGCTTATATGCTGTTTTAAAACTTTTTAAGTCCCTCCCACAGAGCACAAGGATTGGAAGGGACCTCAGGGACAGTTGGCAGACACTGGCCAGCTGCATATGTCAGTCTGTTTCCCTCTCATCCCCCTCCCTCCCC